GGGTTATATAGAGCAGTATGGAGTAATATAGAGCCGCGTGGGTTATATAGAGCAGTATGGGGTAATATAGAGCGGCATGGGTTATATAGATCAGTATGGAGTAATATAGAGCAGCGTGGGTTTTATAGAGCAGTATGGCGTAATATAGAATGGCGTGGGTTATATAGAGCAGTATGGAGTAATATAGAGCGGCGTGAGTTATATAGAGCAGTATGGAGTAATATAGAGCAGCGTGGCTTATATAGAGCAGTATGGAGTAATATAGAGCGGCGTGGGTTATATAGAGCAGTATGGAGTAATATAGAGCGGTGTGGGTTATAGAGAGCAGTATAGAGTAATATAGAGCGACGTGGGTTATATAGAGCAGTATGGAATAATATAGCAGTCGTGGCCTAATGAGTAGAGAGTCGGACTTGTAATCCAAAGGTCGGAGGTTTGAGGCTCAGTACTGGCAGGGATTGTAGTGGGGGGAGTGAATGTACAGTGCTCTCTTCCACCCTCAATACCATGACTGAAGTGAGACCCTTGAGCACTGAACCCCCAACTGCTCCCCGACGCTGCAGCAAAAATGGCTGCCCACTGCTCCGGGTATGTGTGTGTGTTCACTACTCACTGCTGTGTGTGTGCACTTAGATGGGTTAAAAGCAGAGCACAAATTCCGAGTATGGGACACCATACTTGGCTACACGTCACGTCACTTTTTCATTTTAGAGCGGCATGGGTTATATAGAGCAGTATGGAGCAATATAGAGCGGTGTGGAGCAATATAGAGCGGTGTGGGTTATTTAGAGCAGTGTGGGGTAATAAAAGAGCGGCGTGGGTGATACAGAGCAGTACTGGGTAACATAGAGTGGGGTGAGTGATATATATAGCAGCATGAGGCAATATAGAGTGGCATGGGTTATATTGATAGGTATGGGGTAATATAGAATGGAGTGGGATTTATCCAGTAGTATTGGGTAATATAGAGTGGTGTGGGTTAAATAAAGCAATATGGTGTAATATAGAGCAGTGTGGGTGATACAGAGCAGTATTAGGTAATATAGAGCGGCGTAGGTGATATAGAGCAGTACTGGGTAATATAGAGCGGCGTGGGTGATAATGAGCTGCCTGGGATAATATAGAGAGGCATGGTGATACAGAGCAGAATGGAGTAATATAGAGCGGAACGGTGAAATAAATCTCTATGGGGTAATAAAGAGCGGTGTGATATAGATGATATAGAGCAGTATAGGGTAATGTAGATCGGCATAGGTGATACAGAGCAGTGTGTGGTAATACAGAGCAATATGTGGCAATACAGAGCACTAAGGATGATACAGAGCAGTATGAGAAATGATAGATTATGGGGTAATATAGCGTACTGTGGGATAATATAGAGGAGCAAGGGGAAATTTAGATTAGTCTGGGGTGATATAGAGTAATACAGAGAAATATAAAGTCATGTGTGGTGATATCGAGCAGTGTGGGATATTGCAGTGCATTGAGAGGTAATATAGAGCAATGTGGGCTAATGGGTTAATACAGAGCAGCACTGGGTAATATAGACAAGTATGGGGTTATGTAGAGTAGTGTAGGGTAAAATATAGCAATATGTGACAATACAGAGCAGTAAGGGTGATTTAGAAAAGTGAGAGATAACATAAAGCAGTGTGTGGTCATGTTCTGTTACCTTGTTTCTCTGTTTTTCCACCATCTGCCAGCGTCGCTGTGACAGTCAGGAGGGCCAGTAAAGCCAGACACACCCACTGCTGCTGCATGCTGGGAAAAAAATAAATGCACATTTAGTGTATGGCTCATAATACAACAAAACAAACAGCATGCAAATATCAACCTGTAAATGCTTCATCAACATACATGTAGAGACTATCTTTCTCTCTCTCTCTTTCTTTCAATCATTCTCTCTCTGTCTCTCAGGAGGAAAAGTAAAGGTGGATTGAATAATTAGAAAGCAATTTTATCCCAAACGCTCAGCTGCACTTCAGTTACCGTAGCAGTGCAGCCCATCGGCGACATCACCTCCATTTCAATTACTTATGAGCCTCCCTCTCTCCTTTTCTCTTCCTATTTCTGGTTGGCTGATTTCCTGCTGTGCCCATAAGCATTGGCTTGCTGGACTTTTTTCCTAGTTCTGCCTCATGTTAAAGACGCTCAGACATTTTCTCTCATCTCACAAAATCTGTAAATTACATGTCCAGGTCAAATTGAAATAAAATGAAGCCTATATTTAAAAAGATGTATTATTTTCATGACAGTTAAGCACATTTCCTCCAATATTCCATAATCCGACATAATTGCTGTGATGTGGATTTTTTTTTTGTAAAACTGGAACGTATTTATACATCATGCTAATATCTATTGTACTGCTTTTTATTAATGCAGATTTTAATTAAAACATTATTGTATTACAGTAATGAGAATGTAATAAGAGTCACCACTGAGAATTACAGGAATTGCAAAAGCAAAACACCCAGATGCATTACAGTAAACAAGCATTTTGGAACAAAATGTGCTGAAATGAAAATAAGCTCAAAATTCCAAAAAATGCGACCTGGTGCTGTTTCTGAGAGATTCGTCCCATCATTTCTGTCTCTATCAGTGCTAATCACGCTGGACGTCTCTCTGCCGCACCTGAGCTGTTCCACTTGAGTCAGACGCACATAATAACCATGATTTCAGTCAGATGGGCAAAAACCTGCCAATCAAAGACTCATGAGTCATGACATATAAAGCGGTTTGGATCGTTAAAACATAATCTGCCCTCCAAACCCTGATTAGCAACACTGCAAGTGAACGTGTGATACGGGATGAGAGGGAGGATTAGCCTGGAGTGATGTGACAGGAGCACTGAGATTTGAGGACTAGACAGCAGCAGGGTCAAGTGCGTGTAGAGTCGCAACCAATACTCCAGTGTCAATTGAACTGATTTAGCAAACAAGATGCAGAACCGTAATTTGCATGTAAACTTAAAAGTAGAATTAAAATGGAATGAATTGAAAGAAACTGCCGTTTTTAATAATACATTTCATTACTTAGCATGGTTTACCCGTAAACATGTTGTCACAAAACATATGTGCAAATCAACGTACGTAAATCAGATATTTATAATGCCTGATATTATAGCTAAATAACATATCAAATAAATGTAAGATAAATGTAAAAAAAAAAATCTATACCAAAAATATAAAATAAAAATACATTTATTTACTAATATATTTATTAATTACATTTTTAATATTTATTAATTAAATTCAAAATGTAATAATATTTAATTAAATATTTCTACATTTCATTTCAAATTAAATTAACTTTCATTTTACAGAACACTTCCATTTCCTATGAAATGAAGCAGGGAATGGACAAACTGATCAAATTTATCTTTGGATAAAAGCATCTGCAAAATTCATAAACGTAAAGGACAGATCCCATAATAGCCAATCTGTTTTGGGCCATTTTTATTGTTGTTTTGGACTAATGGCATTCCTCTTTAGCATGACTCTTTCATTCTTTCAGTAAATTCATCTTCCAGTCGTTCTGATTCTATTTCAACTCAAGTCTGAATTTTTCCCAATCCTACTAGACAGATATCATGAATACCTTCACGTTTAACCTCCGCAGACCCTAAAGGAAGTCCACTATTGTCACAAGACAAATGACTTGTGCTTTCTTACAAACCCCTACAGAGTGAAGATCTGAGGGGGGTCGGCCGTGTGTGTGTGTGTGTGTGTGTAAAGCACTGAGGTAAAGCTGTTATCCAGCTCTAACACTCCATTAGCTCATTGATCAGTGTAAAAGCAGGAGGGAGAGAGTGACAATGTGATCCATCAGAGTGAAACACGCGCACACACACACACACACACACACACACACAGAGAAGAAAGCTGTACTCGTCATTTTGGATAAAAGCATCTGCAAAATTCATAAACGTAAAGGACAGATCCCATAATAGCCAATCTGTTTTGGGCCATTTTTATTGTTGTTTTGGACTAATGGCATTCCTCTTTAGCATGACTCTTTCATTCTTTCAGTAAATTCATCTTCCAGTCGTTCTGATTCTATTTCAACTCAAGTCTGAATTTTTCCCAATCCTACTAGACAGATATCATGAATACCTTCACGTTTAACCTCCGCAGACCCTAAAGGAAGTCCACTATTGTCACAAGACAAATGACTTGTGCTTTCTTACAAACCCCTACAGAATGAAGACCTGAGGGGGGTCGGCCGTGTGTGTATGTGTGTGTGTGTGTGTGTAAAGCACTGAGGTAAAGCTGTTATCCAGCTCTAACACTCCATTAGCTCATTGATCAGTGTAAAAGCAGGAGGGAGAGAGTGACAATGTGATCCATCAGAGTGAAACACGCGCACACACACACACACACACACACACACACACAGAGAGAAGAAAGCTGTACTCGTCATTCGCAATCGACAGATTTCTGTAAGCCTGGTGCATTGGCTCTTAAAGGGACGGTGCACCCAGACAGCCAAATACTGTTATCATCTACTCACCTTCACGTCACACGAAACCTCTGTGATTTGCTTCTGTAAAACAGAAGCGATTTTATTTTTTTTCATAGAGTGAAAGTGGATGGTCATCCAAAAAGCGCCATCAAAATTTGGGCCTGATCCTCACAAAGCTGTCATATATAGTGTAAATCTCACAGATGCTCTTCTGAAACCTCTCTGTAGGAAGGCATGTTTTCATATGCGTTTTGATTGACAGGGTTTTATCTGCGCTGAGTCTGGCTTTGAGAGGAAATCTTCATGCTTGATCCAGCTACTCTGACTCAGACACAAACACGGATTTGTTGTTGTGGGCGGAGCTTATCAGAACCTGTTAGAATGCAGAAAAACAACAAGATGATCTAGAGAAGCCGGATAAAGACAAAGCTAGAGAGGATGAAATGTGATCTTTAGAGGAATGAGACTGAAAAAACAGAGTCAACATTTACTCTAATGCTTTACTGCACAAACCTGCTTCTGCCATTATTCAATTTAGACATGCCTCCAACTCGGAAGGTTGTCAGAAGGTTCTGGAAACGTTCTCTCAAAGTTATGAACAAACGTTCATCCAGTAATGCTAATAGAGTGTTCATGTTAGTTATCTGGCCTTAATGTCCTAAAAAGCGTTATTTATACATCATTCATGGAACGTTTTACTTTTAAATGTTAGTTGAATGTAACGCTTTTTAAACGTTACTTCCTGTTTCAAATCATTCAGAGAACATTCAAAGGTAACGTTCTCATCTTTGCAAAATCATAAAACGGAACATTAACATTCATGTAACCAAAAAAAAAAGTTTTTGAAACATTTAAAAAACAACATTCCGAAATACTGTAACTTAATGGACGCGTTCTTAGAACGTTTTTGTTTGCTGGATCTGAGCTCAAAGAAAAAACAGAGTTCCCTGCTGGTAATTATGACATCGTGGTGTTCATACATGCTCCTCTCATAAAAAAATCATTGCGACATGACTTGAAGGCGGCGTATGCTAGAACGCGGAGGAAATGTGAATTGTTAACAGTTTCTCTACACAGAATTCCTTCTGCTGTCACCAGGTCAGCTTTTGGAGAACAATAAACCTGACAGCACTTATCACAACACTGTGTGTGAATTTCTGTTTCGCATTGAGCTGCTTTATTTAGAGACATTTATAGTCTAAGAATCAGAGACGTGCTGCGAGCTGTGAATCTATAACACAATATAAATATTCAACAACCATCACTGACTGACAGACAAACAGTGAGAGAGCTGCTTTGACATGAATCACACTGACATGAACACAAACTATCAGACAACCAAATTCATAGCTAAAGATTTCAACATTTCACTCTCTGTGAATTACTGGGATGACATTGATTGCTTATTCCTCTTCAGACAGCTGATATGATCGCATTACACCGCTGATCTCAAACTAGATTTACTGGAGAAAATATATGAAAATGTTTGCATGCACAATACTGACGGACACTTGTGCATCTGATCACTTGGTAACACACACTGTAATCTGGATTACGTAATCAGTTTACAAAAATTAAATACTTGTAATTAGATTTGATTACATTTTAAAATACTCATAATCAGACTAGTTATTTTTTAATGAATACATGATTACATTTTATTTACACAATAGGAATAAATCATTCATAATTTAATGATTCTCCCTAATTCTTCTTTTTAATTTTCCTTTCTAAAATAGCCTACCGCTTATTTACATTCAGAACGTCTTCCAGTTTTGTAGACATTCACACAAAGACCAGTCATAATATAATTACAGTCAGATGGCCATAATTACACAGGAATTTAAGAGGCCACAGCATTTGACCACTGGATTCACAAAAATCATTTCAGTTTCAAGAAATGTTTTGTTAACATGTCAGCATTGCATCAATTTTCATTTGAATGATCATTCAGTGGGTTACGTAACCATGCATTACCATTTCTTAAGAAGACTTTGGTCTTTCAAACACATTAAAATGCACAAATTCATGTTATTTCTTCTTTACATGTAATGCAGAGATTCCCGAACTTTTTTTGTATATATTTGTAACTTTTGTTAAATATATTTTCTTTCTCTTTGTATTTGTGACCCTGCCTGTGAAAACCCAGCTAAAGTCATTTTTTGGTGATTTACTGTTTTCTACATAAAATCCTCCTTCATAAGGATGTAAAGAACATTCTGTGAAATAACCTTTATATCTTTAATATTGACTGAGTAAGGCCATGTCAAAGATTGAAATCATAGTGAAATTAATTGTTG